TCCCACCAGCAATGAAGGAGGGTCCCTTTCTTGCCACATGTGTGCCAACACCAGTTGCTTTTGTTCTTTTGGATGTGGGCCAGTCTCTGTGGTGTGAGATGATATCTCATTGTTATTTTGATCTGCATCTCTCTGATGACTAGTGATGTAGAGCATTTTCTTATGTGCCATTTAGCCATTTGTATTTCTTCTTTGAGAAAGTTTGTGTTCATTTCATCACCGCTTTTTTCAATGGGGTTGGATGTTTTCTTCTTGTGGAGCTCAATCAGTGCTTTCTATATCCTTGATATCTACCCCTTATCGGATGGATATTGGGTGAATATCCTTTCGTATTCTGTAGACTATCTTTGTATTTTGATCACTGTATCTTTTATGGTGAAGAAGCTTCTCAGTTTAATATAGTCCCATTTGTTTATACTCATTTCAAATTGGTTGGTCAGTCGCATTTCATCTTTGAAAATACCGTTAGCCTCAATATTCTGGAGAGTTTTGCCAACTTTGTCTTCAGTGTACCCATATGGATTCTGGTCTAATGTTGAGGTCTTTAATCCATTTTGATCTGACTTTTGTGCATGGTATTAATTTGAGGTCTAGCCCCATTTTTTTGCATGTGGTTTTCCAGTTATGCTAGTACCATTTGTTAAAGAGGCTTTCCTTGCTCCACTTCACAGGTCTTGCTCCCTTATCAATGATTAGATGTTCCTACATTTGGGTATGTGTGTAGGGATATTCCACCCTGTTCCATTGGCCTACAGTTCTGCCTTTGTTCCAATACCATGCTGTTTTAATTATTACCGCTTTGTAGTAGAGTTTTGGGTTGGGGAGGGTGATGCTTCCCATTGTCTTTTTCCCAAGAATTGCCTTAGCTATTTATGAGAGTTTGTTGTTCCAAATGAATTTTAGGAGTGCTTGATCCATTTCTTTGAAGGATTTTTTGGGTATCCTTATAGGTTTCACATTGAATCTGTATAGTGCCTTGGGGAGTATTGCCATTTTGACAATGTTAATTCTTCTGATCCGTGAGTAGGGCATATGTTTCCATTTCCTCATGTCCTCTTTTATTTTGTGGAGTAGTGTTATGTAGTTTTCTTTGTAGAGGTTCTTTACCTCCTTAGTTAGGTTGATCCAAGGTACTTGATTTTCTGGAGCATGATTGTGAATGGGATTGCTTTTTTCATGTCTCTTTCCTCTGTCTCATTATTTGTGTATAGGAAGGCCAGGGATTTTTGGGTGTTGATTTTATAGCCTGCAACTTTACAAGTCTTTATTTCTAGGAGTTTCTTGGTAGAGGCTTTAGGATTCTCTAGATATAGTATCATATCATCTGCGAATAGTGAGAGCTTGATTTCTTCCTTTCCTATCTGGATGCCCTTAATATCTTTTTTTCTTGCCTAACTGCTATTGCAAGTACTTCCAGTGCTATATTGAACAGAAGTGGCAAGAGTGGGCATCCTTGTCTTGTTCCTGATCTTAATGGGAAGGCCCTTAATTTTTTCCCAGTGAGGATAATGCTTGTAGAGGATAATGCTTGTAGGTTTGTTGTAGGTGGCTTTGACTATCTTGAGGAAAGTTCCTTCTAATCCCATTTTGATGAGATTTTTCATCATAAACGAATGGTGGATCTTGACAAATGCTTTCTCTGCATCTATTGATATGATAATATGGTTTTTATCTTTACTTTTGTTGATATGGATTATGTTGATTGATTTTCGAATGTTCAACCATCCTTGCATTCCCGGGATGAATCCTACTTGGTCGTGGGGTATGATCTTTTTGTTGAATTATAAAATTCTATTTGCTAATATTTTGTTGAGGATCTTAGCATCTGTGTTCATCAGAGATATTGGCCTATAGTTTTCATTGTTAGTGGTGTCTTTGTTTGCTTTTGGTATTATGGAGGTATGTGTCTCAAAGAAAATGTTTGGGAGAGTTCCTATTTTTTTTCAATTTCCTGGGAATGGTTGAGGTGAACTGGCAACAGCTCTTCTTTAAATGTTTGAAAGAATTCACTAGTGAATCTATCTGGCCTGGGTTTTGTTTTGGGAAGACTTTTGATTACGGTTTCGATTTCTTTGATATGAATGGGTCTATTCAGGTATTCCAAGTCTTCTTGGCTCAGTCTTGGGAGATTATAGGAATTCAGGAATTTATCCATTTCTTCTAGGTTCTCTTGTTCCGAGGCATACAGACTCTCAAAGATGATCTTTTGAATTTTATTGGTTTCTGTTGTGATGTCCCCTTTTTCATTTCTGATTTAGTTTATTAGGGTTTTCTCTCACTCTTTCTTTTTGAGTCTTGCTAGTGGTTTATCAATCTTGTTTATCTTCTCAAAGAACCAGCTCTTGGTTTCATTGACCTTTTGGATTGTTTTTTGGGTTTTCATGTTGTTAATTTCTTCTCTAAGTTTTATTATTTCTTTCCTTCGGGTTCCCTCTGTTGGTCTTTTTCTAAGATCTTGAGCTGTGAAATCAAGTTATCTCTGTAGGCCCTTTCTTCTTTCCTGAGGAATACTTGCAGAACTATAAATTTTCCTCTTAACATGGCAGCAGAATGTTCATTTCAGTTTCTGGATCCATTTCGCCACTCAGTATCTCTTGATTGGTGCATTTAGACCATTGACATTGAGAGAGATTATTGTTATGGGGTTTTGTGCCATATTTCTGTAAGGGTTTATTGTACTTATGGGTGTTTTACTTCTTGAATTACAGGAGCCCTTTTAGTCCTTCTTTTAGGTTTGGTTTTGATTCTGTGAAGTTCCTGAGTTGTTCATCTATAAAATGGTGTATAGTTCCATCAAATTTGAGTGAGATAAAGTATTCTCGGTGAGGCGTTCAGTTCATTGAGTTTTTTCACTATATCCCACCATTGTCTTTGGGCTTGGAGGGTTTCCTCTGATAGGTCTGCTGTGAATTTAAGAGGTGCTCCTTTGTATGTGATTTCCTTCTTTACCTTGCTGCTTGCAGTATTGTGTTTCTCTCCACGGCATCCATCATTCTGACTATTGTATGCCCTGGAGTGTTTTTATTAGGATCTCTTTTAGCTGAAACCCTTCTGGCTCCTTGGATTTGGATGCCTGCATTCTTTTTTACTCTGGGAACTTTTCAGCAATGATGTCTTTCACTGTGGCTTTTTCATTTGGGTTGCCTCCCTGTCCTTCTGGTAGTCTGATGATTCTAATGTTGTTCTTGTTCTCTGATTCGCCTTAGAGCTATTTTGTGGTCTTTTCCCATTGATTGTGCTGCCTGTAGGATTTCTGTTGCTCTTCTTCAAGCTCACTAATTCTCTCTTCAGCTGTAGTCATTCTACTGCTGAGGGCACCCACTGAGTTTTTAATTTCATCTACCAAATCCTTTATTTTTTGTAGCTTTCTTATTTCTGTTCTCACATCTTCCTGTATTTTCTCGACTATGCATTCCACTGTTTCTTTCATTTCTTCCTTTAATTTTCTGGATGTCTCCTCCATTGAGGATACTTTCCCCTCTTATTGAGGGAAAAGATTCTGAATAAGATCGGTTGATGGTGGTCACCCTTGTCCCCTTCTAGAATCTGTCCTTTCTCTCAGACATTAATCTGTGGCTTATAATAGGCATCTAGTAAAGCATTCAAGGAGGTGCTTTTTTATATTGGGCTTGTACAGCTTCTTGAATACTGGTCTTTTTGGAGATGGGAATAGGCTGGTGGTTTATTGTCATACTGTGTTTGAGGCTGCCAGGACTTATTCCAAAGAATTAGGTGATAATGGCTGGGATGTGAGTCGAGAGGGCAGGGCATGGAAAATATAACAGCGGCCAGCCTTAGAGAAGGCCACCAGCCTCAGAGAAGGCCTCGCAGACTCTTGGGGAGGCCACACCTCTACAGTGGAGGCCACACCCCCAGCCGGTTCTGATGCTAGTCCACAGACCTGGGCCCAAGGGCTTGTGCAGAGGAAAGGCAGGGGCTGGGTGGGCTTGCGCACTGGGGCTTCGAACTCCAGAGTGTGCTCTCATAGGGCTATCCGGATGGCAGGCCAATGGGGAGCGCTGGCTAGACAGGACAGGAGGGGAATGCATAGAAGGATGCACCAGTGCAGAGGAAAGGCGGGGGCTGGGTGGGTGCGCAAGACGGAACTGGTGTTGGATATTCTTGAGCTTTCCTTTTTTAGTACAATTCTTTATGTTTTTCTATGACTACCTAAGGTTTTCTAACTCTACTTGTAAGTAAGAAGTAAAACAGTTATTAGTCATGATTTGTCTCTGAAAGGGAAAAGGGATCCTTGTTGATATTGAAGAAATGAAACTGGACATTCTGGGTAATTATTGGAAACCCAATAGGAATGACTATCATATATGTATATATTTATAAAACTATTATTATAGCACATTGTGTTCCTGATTATTTCAGACAGATAATCTGCTCCACCATCTCACAAAGTAATTAGCGTGAACAGGCATTTTTTCCTCCTTTACACCTGTTAGATTCTTGCACATTCCTAAAGCCTGGCAGGACAATTTTCAGCATGTCTGTCCCTAGGTCATGATCAATACTGCTAATTCCTGTGCCAACTCCCAGACTCTGAATTAGATTCTGAGGACCAAGTTTTCTTATCAGCGAGCTCCCTAGCAAGTTGACACACACGTAGGTGAAAGTATTTTAAGCTAACCACATTGTGATTTAACCCTGATGGGGCCAGCCCAGTAGTTAGCTGAAAAACTACAGCAGAATTTTTTCAAGAAAGAAAACAACTGCTGATGAGATGCTATAAAGCTTTCTTTTGCTGTTTCCTGAAAAAAATCTGTGATTTGTTTAAAGTTGAAAATAATAGTTTTTTTTCCCCAAAGTATACAACTATTGTTTAGACAAGTCTTTTACAATCTATGGGATTATTTATTGCCCCATTAACGTACATCTTTGTTAAATTGGGCTTTATGAGAAAGGCATGCTTTTGTCTTCTGTTGAAGTGATTTTGTCTTATTAAAGCTGTGTTTTGAAATGCTGTATTTATCTGTTTTTTTCTTTTCCAGGCTGCTCTTTATGGATGTGGCTGCTGGGCGGAAAACACTGGAGCTCATAACCCCTACTCCACAGCTGTGAGTACCTCAGGTATTTGCTGCTTTCATGACCATTTTTCATAACTTAGGCCTTGTTGGTCAGCTAATAATTGAACACCTATTTTTACGTAAATGTCAAACGTGCTAAGACATGAGCACTGCCTAGTGCTCATGAGCACTAATGCATGTAAGAACTTTGACATTTAGGGAGCTTTTTAGGATCGTTTCATGAATTAAGTTGCATAGTATAAATGCTTTTCTAACATTGTGTCAATATAACTCGAGTTAATTATGACTTAATTTTATTTTAATGAACTTTTTTTTCTCTACAATAGTGTCAAGTTTAGACTAAAAATATGTAGAAAAATCAAGGATTCCAAAAACAGTAATAATCTCTTGAGTAAAATCTCAACATAGTATTATTTATAATACATACTTAAAAATGTATCATTTTTCACACTCACTCTTAACTACACTTTTAATAAAATGCAGGTCTTTTTTGTAATGTATTTTAAAAATTCTTATTTAGAAATGAGTGTATTTGTGTGCAAGTGAATTTATGTGCATGTTAATGGTCTTCCTTCCTTCCTTCCTTCCTTCCTTCCTTCCTTCCTTCCTTCCTTCCTTCTTTTTGTTTCTTTTATTTGGAGGCCATACTGGGTATGGCCATACTGGGTAAGCTCAAAGCTTACTCCTGGCTCTGTGCTCAGGGATCACTCCTGTTGGTGCTCAAGGAACCATAGCACTGTAGCACTGTCCTCCCATTGTTCATCGATTTGTTCGAGCGGGCCCAGTAACATCTCCATTGTAAGACTTGTTGTTACTGTGCTTGGCATATTGAATACGTCACGGGGAGCTTGCCTCCCAATGAACTATATATGGAATCAAATCCAAGTTCACCACATCCAAGGCAAACTTCTTACCTACTGTACTCTCAGTACCCAATAAAGTGGATGTTGACAGGATGGTTGTTATTTAGATCCAAGTTTTCATATGCTTAAGCCAGATATACTTGAAGTCTTTTCCTTGAACATAGGAATGACTATCATTGGTAAAGTAATGTTGGTTTACCCTTTTCTCATGTTGGTTTCTCAAGTTGCATTTTTAGATTTTTCTCATGCAGTTCTTCAGGCTTTATGGGGTGTGTCACGGGGGGAGAGGGTGAATGAAAATGTCTCTTCTCTCTGCAGTTATTTGCTATGTTGGTCTCTTCAGTCATAATTACTAAGCCATCCAATCCAATAGTTCTTTTTTTCTACTTTTCAAAAAATGTCTTTTTCTTGGTCTGATATATTTATTTTTAATTAAGTTTTATTTTATTAAAGCTCCATAATTTACAATTATTCATAGTTGAGTTTTAGACATAGAGTGTTCTAGCACTGACCTTGCCACCAGTGTCAACTTCCTTTTATCAAAGTTCCCAGCTTCCCTCCCCTACTTTCCCAACCCCAGCCTTCCATCTTGACAGGAACCTTCTTAAATTTGATTGCTAAAATTTAAGTTTCATTATTTAAGTGTTTATTCTGTATTCTGTATTATTTAGCTTTGTCATTTCTTAACACCACCATTAGTACCTAAATTTTATTTTTAATTTGATTTTTGGCACTGTTAACTTTCAGTTAGCAATACTATTAATGGTACATTTTCTTGCACAAAACATTCTAGTACCATGCCTTCTACCAGTGTCCACTTCTCTTCACCATTGTTCCAGTGTCCCCACCCCATCCTGTTCTTATCCCAATTTCCCCATTGTGGTAAGCTTCCTGTTGAAGACCAGTTCTCAGTTTCTGTTGTCTTTGAGTGTTAATTATTCCCCTACTACAGTTACTTACTTCCCACATGTGAGAAATATCATTGTGTGTCTGTCTTTCTGACTAATTTCATTCAACATGATAGTTTTCAAATCTTTCCACACAGCAACAAATTGCATGATTTTATCTTTTCTTATTGCTGAATGGTACCCCTTTGTGTATATGTAGCATAGTTTCTTTGTCTAGTCATCTGTCCTTGGACACTAGGATTGTTTCTAGATTTCGGCTACTGTGAATAGTGCTACCATGAACACAGTCTTTTTTGAATAGAGTGTTTGGGCTTGTTTTTCAAAGAAGATGGACAGATGGCCAAAAGGTATTTAAAAAAAAGTCTCTGCACCAAATATTAGTAGGAAAATGCAAATCAAAGCAACAATGAAAAGTCACCTCATATCAGTGAGACTTTTCCCCATATCTCTGCCAGCACTGGTTGACTTTGTTCTTTGTAATATATGTTTCAGTCTCACTATATTCTTCCTTCCCTTCCCTTCCTTCTATGCAGTATCAGAGATTGAGCATAGTAGACATGGTCTTATGTACATTACACATATGCTCTATCACTTGAGATATATCCCCGAAGTTTGTTTTTTTTTTTTGTATTTGGGCCACACCCAATGATACTCAGGGGTTATTCTTGGCGCTGCACTCAGGAATTACTCCTGGTGGGGCTATGGGAACCATATTAGTATCAGGTATTGAACTTGGGTCATCCACATGCAAGGCAAGCACCCAAGCTGCTGTACTATCACTCTGGTCCATAAAGTTTTCTTTTTATCTGTAGCATAGGTCTGAGGCTCTTAGGTTGCTTGTTCTCCTGTCCCTCCTGCTTCATCTCAGTCGTCTTCACAGATTCCACATTCCTCCCAGCCCCAGGCTTGGGCCTCTTTTTTTTTAAATTTCACAGGATTTTCTCCTTGTGATTTGGTATTTCAATTATTGGTTTTGATATCTTTGATGTCTGTCTCTACTCTGAGCTTTAGAAGCTTCACACCTTCCTTTCCTACTTTCCTTTGTCCCTAGGGGTATCATGTATGCACATTGGATTTAGCAGACTAGACAGAACCATTTATTCTGCTCATTCTTCGCTCTACTTCTTATTGCTGTCACTAGTCTGTTTTTCCTCTCAAACCTAAAATCTTGGTGTTATTCTCAAAGTTGTTACTTTTCATTTCTGCTGACCCAACCCAATTATTTTATACCAACATTCTTCTACTAATTTTAGCAGAGTGCTGACCTAGATCCATTCATTGACTACCTGGAAAAATATCATTGTGAGCTGCTGGCTTAACATGAATGAATTCATGAAGTACAAACATAAATTAATATTTAATGTAAAACCCCATGATATAATGGGCAAGACATTATTTCTCAGTCTTTTATTTTTAATAGGTAAGCATAATAAAATATATGAATTAATTTTTAATATAGCATTGGCACATGAAAATATGCATGACTTTTGGGAATTAGCTTGTTCACATAATTAATATGGCTTACTGTATGGAAAATTATGCTCTTTGAACAAATTGAAATCCAGAACAAATAATTGATTATTTCATTTTTGTTTTTGCAAAGAACTACCAGTTGGTGTCACAAATTTTTTCTCTTTAATTTTGTCAATATGTTTTTTAGTGAGATGAGTTGTTGCTTAAATGTTACTCTTACATTTAGATGGATTGTGTTTTCAGTTGAAATCCTAGGAACTGGCCTGACTGGCACTTTAGAGAGGAAATTCAATATCCTTGGAATTGTATACCCCCCTCCTATTTTTCATTGTAGATGTGGAAATTGGAATAGGAGCATACTTCATGGATTTGATTCTGCCAAGTACAGTGCAGTGTGGGCAAAGCTAAAAGTATAAAAGTCAGGTCTTTTTTTTTTTTTTACCTTTTTTGGATATTTCCTCCTGTACCCACCTTGTCTTATTTGAGGCTAGTTTTATACGACTTAAGACAATGTTAGGACTCTAGTTCATGACACCCCATGTAACTTTCTTTTTCTTTTATCTCTCTCTTCTTCCTTCCTTCCTTCCTTCCTTCCTTCCTTCCTTCCTTTCTTTCTTTCTTCTTTCTTTCTGCTTTTTGGGTCATACCCAGCGATGCTCAGGGGTTACTTCTGGCTCTGCACTCAGAAATTACTCCTGGAGGTGCTCAGGGAACCATATGGGATGCTGGGGATCGAACCTGGGTTGGCCGTGTGTAAGGCAAATGCCCTACCCACTGTACTATCACTCCTGCCCCACCCCATGTAACTTTAATCTTGTTTAACACCTGACTTCTTGTTACCTCTATCCCAAAGTTGAGGACTAACCATCCTCAATCCCTAGGACCCAAAGGATCATAGACATGGTCTCTATCTAGACCACTTGTGTGATTGCTTCATATTATTTCTTCTGGAGCTTTTGCTCTGATCTTGCTCTGAAAACATGTGGCAGAACTGGATGATCAATTGGGGCCTGGGATATTGCAATCTTTCTGGAAAAAAATAAGAAAACCCCAAACAAACAATTGTTAGGCTGTTACAGAAAGTCCTGGCCTGTACTCTAGGTTTATCATTCTTAGAAGGTGATGATTGAAAGGCAGAGGGAAGATAATTATGCTCTGAAGGCCATACAGGTGAGTCGGTCATTAGCCTGAGGGGTAAACTTTTAGGTCTTGTTCTCATTACTGGGTAGGGGAGGAAAATGTGGGGAGAAGAAAGGGCTACCCTCTTTCTGACTGACTTTTTAAAACTCTGACTAATATTCTGGCATCATGGAAATTTGCTTAATTAGAAAGGAATAGAACAGATCAGACTCTTCCACTCACTGATTATAATCCTGGCCAAGGGATACTTTCATCAGAAATAGAAACTACGTTAGTATTTGTGGTATTGGATGAGTTGACATATAGAAGGCTCTTACCATAATGATTGTCCCAAAGAATTCAGTGAGAGTAAGTTAGTCTTATTGAGTAAAAAAGTAAATAAAAATAATCGTCTTTGATTATTTTTCACCATTATTTTAAAAAGTTTATTCATATTTTTATTATTATTGTGGTAAGAACAACTAATGTGAATCATATACATATACCCTAACAAACTTTTTAATGATTTAATACAATACTGTAACTATGGCAAAATATTATGTAATTCATAAATACTAAATAAGATCTCTAGAACTTATTTATTTTGTATTACTATAACTTGAGTTTTAAATGGCAGTGTTTCATCTTATTTCACTCTTCTTAGTTGTTGTAAATTCCCG